TGGTGTGACAAACATTCATGTTGCTTTCTCTTAAGTCACTCATTAATATGCTTCTGTCTAAGCTTTTTCTCCGCCGTATGCAAGAGCAACCGGAACCATTTTCTAACACTCGTATAATATGCATAGTTTCGTGTTCAAAAACAAAAGAAAAAAGACCGAATTATGACAAATATAGCCAAACTGGCATAACTGTTAAAATTAATACTGATCATGACAGTGTCAGAGCGACTGCGATCATGCTGAGGTCCACCGCAGCTGGCTTATCTTAGCGATCTCCGGTCATCGCGGTGAAGCAAGCGTCAGAAATTACATCAGCCGCGCTTCGAGTAAACAACTGAGAGCTTACTCTGATATCCTTCCAATGCTTCGAGTGGAAGGCCACATCAGTCTCAGCAGCCAAGTTTCACGGCGCTGTCACCGCGAGCAATCTATATGTTCCTGTGAATTCGACCGACGTTCATTTATAAAACACCGCCTTGAGCAGTTTGTTTTCTAATTGCTAGGCGAAAAAAAAAACCGCGTGTGTTTATGAGCTTCAACTCGTCCGGATTTCAAGGAATATTTTACTTTCAGATTCTGTATTAGAGACTTAAAAAACTTCAGGCAAAAGTGTTAAATTCAACCTGCCGCGCTGAAGTATTTCAGTTCGTAAACTATTGCAAATTGTGAACTTTGACGGTTTGTGAGCTTTGATAGTTTGACATTTTTGACAGTTGTAGTCTTGTTCAACCGATTAGATTATTTGAACCATTTTATCAAAGATGATGATTGGCTCATTGTAGTGTGTTTTACAAGAGTATAGAGCATACTGACTACACTTTTGTTCACTTTGAAAATAAGGTTGTTTTGGAAATTGGGGAATTAATTAAACAGATTCTTTATTATAAAACAAATCGAGATATCGAGTGTTTCTCTCCACTTTTTGAGTACTCTACTTGCTTCCTAAGTGCTCTACAACAGAACTAAGCACAGCCAAGGCTTTGAATTGGTTAAATAGTGTTTGTGGATTTCTGGTGTTTCCTGTTCCCGTTAGGTGTGCTCGTGAACGGAATCCGTGAAGCAAACCGAGGTACACTTTTGCTATCTCACTAGTTCCGCCAATCCGGTCAGGTCGTTGTGAAACTTCTAAAGTGCTCGTGTAAAAGTGAATTTGTGATTACCCTTCGATATACATGCTTGGCTTCACAGAGGACACAGAGTAAAAGTCTTACTCAAGTTGTAACCTCAAAAGGTTACCTAAGTGACTGAGCAGACAATTCTAACGCACACAGTAATCTTTATTAATTTTAGATGATAGCGCTAAGACGTTAATTTTCTTGATGAGAGTAGTGGTTGAGGTTGCATGTGGTTCGAACTAAAGGAAAATACAACAGAAACTAAATTAAGAAAAATGAGTTGCGAAATGTTATATTAACCTAACTAAAAATGAGGCGATTGCACGGAAAACTGAATAATAATACACCAATAATACATACAAAAGGTAAACAATGTAAATGCAAAAGAAATAAAGACTTACTTTGGTCTAGCTCCTAACGGTGGCAAATAGCTTGTAGCGATTATCTAGCAGCGACGATTCAATTAGTAGCGCTGATTTAGTAGCGATGATTGAAATAGAATCTTTACACGTGTACTTAAATGGGAATTGATCGGGAATTGACAAACTTATAGTGTAATAACCATTAGCTAACGAAAGATTTATTGATAAAAATGAATCAGAACAAAAAGGATAATAAAGTGTGTATTAACTAAGCGTTTCGAAACTAACAAAGATGTTGTCACGTTCGGTCCGAAATATGATCGTGGTGATACAAATCTGTTGCTGATCAACGAATTAAGAACTAGATTTGTTAGTAGCAATCCTTAGTTGGGTCTGAGAGAAAATACTACTGTCTTGTATAACCTTAACTTCTCAAGCCACGTCGGTTTTCTTTAAATCATCTCTATTCGTTTATTAATGATTATTACCAGAACTTGCATATGACCACGGAACCGAGTTAACAGCCTTTGCGCCATGGCAAGTCTTACGCAAACATAATATTGAAGCCTGTAATATTTTTCTAACTGTCGATGTTTAGGTATCATATTACGACGGCCAGGTGCTACTTTTGTCAATAACCGTTGTTTCCTTGGGGTTCCACACTTCCTCATTCAGTCTGCA